CTTGCAACATTTAAGAAACAAAGGGAAGTCAAGTCTTGAGGAAGCCTTCCTTGTTTTGGGGGCAGACAGTGTTTTTATTTTCAGTGGCACAAAGTCAAAGACAGGTAGTGGCTTTGCTGCGAAAGCCATGCACCTGGGTAAAGAGGGCTTCCCCCCTCCCCCAGCTGGTTTCCTTCATTACCCACACTGTACTGGGTGTCGTCATGAAAATGTCATCTTGCCAGTTATTAAACAAATCAGCCAGATGAAGAGGCGAGATCCTTAAAGGCTCTCCTTCCTGTTAGTAACAGTAAGGCATTTCCAGGTTGCATCCACTCCCCCAGCTGGGATTTTTATTATGGCCATGCTCCATTTCACTGTGGGTGTCCAAACTTCTCAGAAACGCTGGTGGGCCCAGGGGTCTTTTCCTGTTTCTTCTTATCTTGCCGGAACAGCCAGGCAGGCTTTTGAGAGTGAAACCAGGAGACAGAACTACCCCTAGCTGGAGGGTGGTTGAAAAGTAAAATGTTGGCTTGCTACAATTGAGGCACCCCAGACCTTACAATCCCATAGAGTATACTTTTAATTTTACATTATTAATATTAAATAAAGACATAAAAATGCAAAGAAAATGTGCCCGATACTCAAAATATAAAAAATACATGTTTGAATATAAAATTCATTTTATTTCAGATAGAAACAGGTTATAAAGAATATACAATAAATGATACTACAGTGTTCTCTATATTTAAATGTACAATATTGCTATGGTATATTATATGCACATATAAAAATAGCTAATGTACAAACCTACACCTATGTATGTATAATCTAACATGAAGTGTTTTTTCATGTGTAATTTGTACATGGTAAAATATACTTTTGAGTTTCATCCATGTTGTAGCTTAAGTCATTCTTTTGCATAATTTATAAGGCAGTGGCATTTCACTGTATAGATGGATAACTTATTTACCTATTGATTAACATTTGGTTTGTTTCCAATCATGACTACAATATAATACAATTTCTGTGAATAGTAAGTCCAAAGAGGTGCCATTTTTAGGCTAAGTATCGCGGGGTGGGATTATGGGCTGAAGGGCAGATATAAGGTTATCTTTGTAAGAATTGACCTATCTGTGTCTTACATGTATATATCATCTGCAGGGCATGGATTTTTACTCCTCTACATCCTGAGGACTGGTATTTTGTGGTGTTTTTCTTTTGGCTTTTCTAGTAGGTGTCAAGCAGTATCTTCCCATGGTTTTCAGTTGCATCTTCCTGATGAGTAATGATATCGAGTATCTTTGGATTTGTATCTTGTACAACCCGAGGGATAAATCTCAAATTTATGACATTAAATGAAAGGAGTTACACTCAAGAAGAGATACATACATAATATGAAAGAACACTTAGACATTATAGAAAAATTAAAACTACACAGGAATTGGATCTGATAGATCAGTGATAGGATTGAGGAGAGGGACTGACTAAAAAAGGTTAGAAACTTGGGGGAGTTAGGAACTGTTTTGTCTTGATTCCGTTAACAAGATTGTAGGCATTTTTCCAATCTCAGAACTGTACAGTAAAAAGGGTGCATATTACTGTATGGAAATATACCTCAGTAAATCTGACTTTAAAAATAAGTCAGTACCCATTCTGTGGGGGTGGAGTGGGGAATGGGATCAAAAACGGGGGAGGGGAAGGGAGGGAAATGCACGGGACTATGGTGGTGGCACAGGGGTGATTTGGTGATGGGAAACCCGCAGGGATTACAATTGAGATGGAAAAAAAAATGTGCAAAATGATGTAAAAATAAACTTTTTAATAATAAAAAAAATAAGTCAGTACCCTAATGTTATAAATAAATACAGAATAACTGAAACTGCATTAGCCAGGTGCTCATACCAGCCCACTTCAAATAGTAATAGTGACAACAGGCCATCCTCACTGGTCTCCAGTTTCTGCTCCCTCAATGTGGCCAATATCCTGTCACGCCATTTTCCATAATTTTTTTTTAAAGATTTATTTATTTATTCATACAGAACTGGGGTACAGCCAGGAGGTGCAGGGGTGGTGAGAAGTTTCACCAGAGGAAGAGTGGGGAGCAGAGCAGGCTGATTGACTAAGTACACTGCTGAGGGGAGCAGCGAGCGGGTCAGGAGAGGTCTGCCACGCCATGTGGATTCTCCAGGGCTGGGGATCGAACTCACACTGAAGCGGCTGCTGCCAGCTTGCAGTGCTACGTCCTAGCCCATTGCGCCACCGTGGAGGGCCCTATTTTCCATAATTTCATTTTACAAGTGAGGTAACTGAGGTTGTTGGCTTGGTCCAAATGACCTCAGCGGATCAATGTTGGCATCAGGATTTGAACCCTCATACACAGTGCACCCTTTTTTGCCTGTGTCACTCCTTGTCTAGTAAACAGGAAGCTCTGTTTATGGTTTTCTGAGCACCTAATATCCTCCCCAGCCCACTCTGGGCCACTTGCCTGGAGGGGTTCATGAGTCTAGGGCCTCATCCTCATCTCTCCTCCAGCCCTCTGGTCTTCTGTCCTTGCAGAAAGTGAGAACACAGAGAAGCAATGTTGAGGAACATAGTAGCCACCCTGAGAAGCCTCATGAAGAAACAGGCAGTGGGGAATGGGCCGTCATGCTAGGGAAGCCAGTAGATAGTGGCCACCACCAGGATTTAATGGAGGGGTCACAACACTGTATTAGTGGGTAACTGTTTCAGTGTACACTGTACTGTGCTGTACTGGTTGCTAATGAGGGTCCTTCAGAGAGGCCAAATAGCGAAGACTCAAAAATGCAGAGGGGCAATAAGGAGTGTATGGCGTGTTAGCTGCCATTGCCCTCACCTGGGGGCAGGGAAGTTCAGTCAGACATGGCTCCATGGTTGATGGGAGAGCCCCACCGTGACAGACAAGCAAGGGGCAGGCTTGCAGGTAGGCCTGCTACAAGGGCTGTGACAGCATTGGGAGACAGTAGTTGGTTAGGCAGGCAGACCTCCACGCCATGTTGAGGATTGGAGTTAGTGGCCATCAGTCACCATTTTGATGAAATGGAATAAATGGGGAATGTGCAGGTCACCAGACTTTGTCATTTGTGGGATGAAATAAGAGATGTTATGCTGGAGGCAAACTGTAGAAGAGCTAATGAGGAGGTCTCACAACTTCCTGTAATGCATGAGGAGTGATTCCAGAGTCAGGTGGAAGGGGGAAAATGGAGGGTGCCTAGATATGGTGAAGGGGGTCAGGGGGACATCTCCAGAAACACCCCTGAGGGATCAACAAATGTTGTCTAAGTTGGAGGATAATAGTGGATGATGAAAGTCCAGAAACTGGGGGCCTCTCTGGTGGCACAGTGGGTTAAGTCTCAGCACTGTGAAGTTACCTGCAGCACCAGTTCAATCCCCAGCTAGCGAGCTGACTGACATGGCACAGCAGACCTCTCCTGTCTCCCCGCTGCTCCCTCGGGAGTGGATTTCAGTAGATCCACATGTTCTGCTCCCCACTCTGTCTCTGGTGAATCCTCTTGCCCTACTCCCTGCACCTCTGGCCTACACTCCAGCTCTTGTATGCATAAATAACTAAATCTTAAAAAAAAAAAAAAAAGTGCAGAACTGGAGGAAGGAGAGGACTGGTGGGTCCTCTAAGCTATAGCTCTAAGATTGGGTGCACATTAGCGGACCTATGATAAGGTGGAGAAGGCGGCGCTGTGAAGGGGGGAGGTGAAGAGGAGCTAATGACATGATGGAAAGTGGGGTAATAAGAGGTGTCACCAAGCCCTACCCCATTTGGTTCCATGAGCCTCGGCTGGCACCAGCCTCGGTTCCGGGCTGTGGTTCAGAGGCCGGCGCATCCTTGCAACACCCGACTGTTACCCACTCTCCGCCAGCTAGTGTGGCCACTGCAGCGTCTAAGCAGACCCTCGCCCCTGTCTGGGGATGTTAATGCCCTGTTTGGACATCTAGTCGGCACTCAGCTCCCCCTTGCCACTGTTAGCTTTGGACATACCTACTAGGACATCAGTGAGTCAGGAGGTTACGTCTTGGGATAGGCAAGCTTCTTCCAGATAACATTGGGGTGTGATCAGGTGCTACTGCCATCACTTTGGGGCTGAGTGTAGTGTTTCATTCATGTCAGGGAATCCTGGAAGCCCAACATTTGAGGGACTTCCTGTGCTTTGTTCTCCCCCTTTTTAAACAGGTTGGCATCAGGTCAAAGTTTGACAGTGAGGTTCAGCTTTAGGGGCAGGAAGGAGGCCAGCCTAGGTGCAAACTGCAGTGGAACAGTGTAGTACTTGTGCCAGGCAGGGTCTCGGCTCACAGGAGCGGTCCTCATAGACATTCAAGTCTGGGGTTCACAGCCACTGAATCCTCTGTGGAAGAAGGGGGCAGGGTAGGGCTGAGACTTCAAACCAGGAGGAAAGGCCTCTGTGAAGAGGAGGCGCTGATTTGAAGGCAAGAAGGAGTGAAGCAGAGCTAGGAGAACGAAGCATGAAGGAGTGAAGCAGGGCTTGGAGAACGACACTCTTTGAAGGGGGCCTGTCAGTGCTAGGGTCTGAGGCAAAACCAGAACTGAGATGTCTGAGCACACAGGAGGAGAGTCCTCAAGGGTTGCGTGGCATGACACGACACACTGCACAGATGCTGGGCTTTGTTTCAGTATGTTATTGACTCATTACTGTGATTAAGGTCAGGCTACGGAGACAGGCAAGTGAACTGGTAGAAGCGACAGCAGCAGGAGACAGGGGTGAAGAGCTGATGGAGGCGACCTGGAAATTCTCACCTCAGGCTTCCTAAGGTAGCTAGAGTTCCCAAGTCACCTGGGGGTTGGTGAGAGATAATGGTGGCCAGCAGTCGTGCTGTTCAACGGGAGGTCATAACAAATGATCAGGGCCAGAGGACAGTGTGCTGAGGACGGATGAGGGATATGACACTGCAGTGGTAGCTAGTGGGGTTCTAAGTCATAGTGCTAGAGGACAACAGGGAGTCAGCGAACACTCTGAGGGTTGTGCCTTTGTACATTAGTTTTTATTGTGGTATCTCTTTATAGAAATAATGGATACGGAAACTGGACTCCCACAGTTGTGCTAGCTTCAATACAAGAATAAAATCCCCACTATATTAGACAACGTGTCCTGCAATGAACATTTCACAGAACATAGGGTTTGTTGCTCTATCATACACTAGGGTGTTCTACCATCCCCTTGTTGGCATTTTTCCTTTTCCACAGTAAACACAATTATTAACGTAACACAATATTATCTTTCCTAAGCAGAATTTGGGAACAGCATTTCTTCTTGTTTTTCACTAGCAGGCTTAGAATGTGTCAATGGTCAGGATTCCTACTCAGTACTAATGCCTCAAGGTTTAATGAGACAGATGAGGGCACCCCTCATTCAGGCACCTCACAGGCCCTCCTCTACACAGTACCATATGACATTCCTTGGTATATTTCTCCTTATAATAATATACTTTTCTGCTGCATGAACTTGATGATGTATCATCACAACTGATCACACTAAAGTTTTCTCATGCTGTGTCTCAAGTGTGAATACTTTGATGCACATTAAGCACCGATTTCTGAACAAAGCCTTTCCCACAGACTACACACTTGTAGGGTTTGTCTCCAGTGTGTGTTGTCTGGTGTTTATTCAGATTTGATCGATCCGTGAAGGCCTTGCCACACTCAGCACACACATAAGGCTTTTCTCCTGTGTGAATTCTCTGGTGCACTTGCAGCTGTGATTTCTTCGTGAAAGATTTGCCACAGTCACTGCATTCATAAGGTTTCTCTCCAGTGTGAATTCTGTGATGTATAATCAGCTCTGACTTTTGTCTGAAGGTCTTCCCACATTCAGAACAGATGTAGGGCTTTTCTCCAGTATGAGTTTTCTGGTGTTTACTGAGATTTGACCTGCCACTAAAGGCTTTCCCACAGACAGCACACACATAAGGTTTTTCTCCTGTGTGAATTGGTTGGTGCACCAGGAGCTGAGATTTGGAGGTGAAGGATTTCCCACAATCACTGCATTCATAAGGTTTCTCTCCCGTATGAATTCTCTGATGAGTTATGAAGTTTGACTTCCGGATAAATGCCCTTCCACACTCAGTACACACATAGGGTTTCTCTCCCGTGTGAATTTTCTGATGCACAATAAGTATTGATTTTTGGTTGAAGGCTTTTCCACATTCGTGACATTCATACTGTCTCTCTCCTGTGTGAATTTTTTGGTGGATGTTTAAGTGTGACTTCTGGGTGAAGGCTTTTCCACAAGTGTTGCATTCATAAGGTTTCTCTCCTGTGTGAATTCTCTGATGCGTAATCAAGTCTGACCTTTGTGTGAAGGCCTTTCCACATTTAGGACATAGATAAGATTTCTCTCCAGTGTGAGTTTTCTGATGTGTAATGAGATTTGACCTGTTGGTGAAGGCTTTCCCACACTTAGCACACATGTAAGGCTTCTCTCCTGTGTGAATTCGTTTGTGCACGTGGAGCTGTGACTTGGAAGTAAAGGATTTCCCACAGTGACCACATTTATAAGGCTTCTCCCCTGTATGAATTATCTGATGTGCGATCAAGTGTGCCTTCTGGATGAAAGCTAGTCCACATTTCATACAAACATAGGATTTTTCTCCTGTGTGAATTCTCTGATGCACGGTGAGTGCTGACTTCTGAGTGAAGGCTTTACCACAGTCACTACATTCATAAGGTTTTTCTCCAGTGTGAATTCTCTGATGTATAATCAACTCTGACCGATAGGTAAAGGCCTTACCACATTCAGTACATATGGAAGATTTCTCTCTAATTTGAACTTTCTTCTGAGTGATGAGATTGGAACTAGTATTGAAGACCTTCCCATATTCGGCACATAGAAAGGGTTTCATTCTTGTGTGAATTCGTTGATGAACCTGCAGTTGTGACTTAGAAATGAAAGATTTCCCACAGTTACTGCATTCATATGGTTTTTCTCCAGTATGAATTCTTCGGTGAGCAATCAAGTGTGTCTTCTGGATGAAGGCCTGTCCGCATTCAATACATATATAGGATCTCTCACCGGTATGAATTTTCTGATGCATCTTGAGTGTGGACTTCTGTGTGAATGCCTTGCCACAGTCACTGCATTCATGGTGCCTCTCTCCAGTATGAATTTTCTGGTGAATACTGAGATCTGAGTTGTAAGAGAAGCCTTTCCCACATTCACTACATTCATAGAGTTTTTCTCCAGTATGAATTCGCTGATGTCTGAAGAGAGAAGACACTTGAAAAAAGGCTTTTCCACATTCGCTGCATTTATAGGGTTTCTCCCTAGTATGGGTTCTCTGATGTGTACTGAATTCTGACTTTTGTACAAAAGCCTTCCCACAATCAATACACACATAGAGTTTTTCTCCTGTATGAACTTTCAGATGTACTTTGATTTGTGGCTTCTGGGTAAAGATCTTTCCAAATTCTGCACATTCATAAGCTTTCTCCCCGGTATGACTTTTTAAATGTTGAAAAGGTACTTGTTTATAGCTAAGAATTTTCCCACATTGATTATGAGTCCATAATTTCTCTTCTATTGAAGCATACTCATGGTCAGTAAAGGAAGGATTTTTACCATATTCAGTGATCTTACTATTGTTCCTTGAGTCAAGGATTCTGTTATGACTGTATAAATCTAAATTTTGCTTCAAAGTATTTCCAAGTAAGTCATGCTGATGGGTTATTTTTAGATAAGGAATATTTGGGTTCATAGGATTTATTTTTATAATGTCTTTATATTCATAATCCCTCTTTGTGAGCAACATTTTCTTGATGAAATCAACATTCCTTAAAGATTTCTTTTCTTTTTGCTGATTGCTTTCTATCTGTTCATCAATCTGCCACAACTCTTCTAGAATGAAATACAACAGAATATCATTTGTAGCATTCTTTTTCCATTCAATGTAGAAAAATGCTTTTGTAGCAATTCTCTATTGTAAGATTAGAAATCCAAACTCTCCTCAAATGAGAAAGGGATGACTTTAACTAAAAGAGCAGCTAGCGGGGGTGAGAGGGGAAAAGTCATACGGTTCATCCAGATGGAACAGAGAAAAGGGGAAGGGTGAATGAACCATTTGAAGAGAAAATTGTTGATTGTAGACAGAGAAGATACTTGGGACAGAATTCAGCAATTAGAGGAAATAAACGTTGTAAACACTTAGCATCAAGGAGAGAAATGGAACAAGTAAGAGTCTTTCTCAAGACAACCGAGAATTGCCCCTCTTGCACCTGTCTGAGTCATGCTTACTCACCTGCACAGTTCTGACGTGGACTCTTAGCCTGTGATGTCCATGGCTCCTTTCCCTGCTCCAACATGAAGACCTTTGGTTCAGGAACTTGGTAACCTGTTCAGGAGAAATGATAAGGTGCTGGCGTCCAGCTAAGTGTGTTTCAGTGCCCTCCAATAAGTCTTGCTATCCAACAAGGCTTTGTTTTCTAGAAAAAGAACCACGCATGGTAGGTTCTCAAATAATGTTTGATGATATCACTGATGAGAAAAAGAACCTGGTCAATGAGGAATGAAATGACATTATCAAGGGCTTGCTGTCCTTCCATGTCATTTAGTTTAAAGTCACAGTTTCTAAGAATCTGAATGACACTAGTGAGGAAACATGGTATCTCTGAGAACAGAAAGGGCCCAGAGTCTGCACAAATCAAGACAGAACTACCGTATTTCAGATGTCTCGTGGCATTCAGTAATTAGGAGCCAATATTCACCAGAGCCTTCGCACACATGTGCAGGTGACCCCACTTACCTACTGAGAGTAAGTGGCTGTATGTCTCCAGCATCACATCCCGGTACAAGCTTTTCTGAGCAAGATCTAGGTGCTGCCACTCCTCTCTGCTGAAATCTACGGCCACATCCCTGAAGGACACGGATTCCTGTAAGAGCACACTCCTGTTCAATGTGAGCAGTCAGCTGTGGGCACGGGAAGTTGACATGAACATTTTCAAACAGCGCTTAGAACTCAGTTCTATTTAAAATATATATGGAATAGAGAAAAAACATAGAGAGTAACAGAATCAACAACTTAGGAGAAATGGGTCACTTTCTCAAAGTCACAACTATCAAAACTCAATTATTATAAGTAAACCGATAATCCTATAACCATTAAATTTAACTAGTTATAATTGAAAGCTCCTGAGAAAGAAAGTGCAGCGTTAAGAGTTTTACTAAGGAATTCAATTGAGTAGTCAAATCACAATTAGTCTCATTTTTACATAATTCTCTTCTGGAAATAAAGGGGATACATTCCAACTGATTCTGTGAAGCCAGTTTTACTCTGATACCAAAGTTGGACAAAGACAGAATCTCTCAGGAACAGATATGCAAGCATCCTCAGTGAAATAGTAGCAGATGGATCCAGTGATGAATGAAAAGAATCATGTGTCACAGTAAATGGAATTTATGGGGGGATTCTCTGTACTGTATTTCATACCCTATGAATCTGTAATTACTTCAAAATAATTTTTAAAAAAAGATTATTTTGCATACAAGAACTGGGGTACAGGCCAGAGGTGTGGGGAGTGAGAGGATTCACCAGAGACAGAGTGGGGAGCAGAACAGACAGATTGATGAAGTACTCTGCTGAAGGGAGCAGCCGGGAGACAGGAGCGGTCTGCAGCGCCATGTGGGTCAGCTCGATAGACAGAGTGATTAATTATTGAGAAGGTAAAACTGATATCAGGTATAAGGTCAGAGAAAAAAAGTCTGTTACCAGTTGTATGTAACTGTAAACTGGTTTCACAGGTGAACTGTAAGGACTACAGGAAGAGGACGGGGTGAACACAACAAATAATTTAAATTATATATACTGAGATTTAGAGGATAATACATTCAACCACATATTCTAGACTGTTAGATAAATACCTATCATGGAGATGACAATTCATGTCTTATAAGTAGTGCAGGACACTCTGAATTTAAGGGAGATGATGAAGATGCATGAAGGTCAAGGGTAAAGAAAATATTAAAGCTGCTGGGCTCCTGTCTTAACATTGTGCAGTTTAAAAATGATCTTTTTTATTTCTTTAGCTAATTGATTTTAAAGATTATAGTATACTTCTTTTGATGTGTTGTTTCTGTTTCTGGGGCTTAGAATATTGTCACTTCATTGAAAATATCCCCTATGTGGGCCCTCCTTGGTGGCACAACGGGTTAAAGCACAGCACCACGAAGTTGCCTCCAGCCACTGTAGCATGAGTTCGATCCTTGGCCAGAGAAGTGACCCATATGGCGCAGGAGCCTTCCTGTCTCCCTGCTGCTCCCAGCAGTGGATTTCAGTCGATCTGCCTGTTCTGCTCCCCACCGTGTCTCTGGTGAATCCTCTTACTGCCCCCACACCTGGCCTGTACCCCAGTTCTTGTATACCTAAATGTATGAATGTAAAAAAAAAAATTAGAAGATTCAATTTAAAAGATGACATAAAGGTAACACTCAACAAATCAACCAGCCAAACAAAAAAGAATTCCAACTTTCCACATTGCCAAAAAAACAAAGCAAACATACAGAGAACATCACAAAAGATACATAATGTGTATCATCCCTCATCCTTGTGGATGATTGTGGACCTCTAGTGGGTCCGGGACCTGGGGCGCTTGTGAAGGATGACCCAGAGGGATGACTGCTGTGTCCAGTGTGCAGTGAATTGATATTTTGCAGCGAATCTTTATTTTGCAGCGACTCCACATTCTCAAGCTGTGACACTAGCGCACTGACTTTATCTGGACTCTCTCAAGCAGTAACAGCAGCATACTGGCTTATGCTACCCTTTATCTGGTGCTCTCATTCTCAGAACACCCTGGTCAGCCCCAGATGGCGGAGCCCTCGCACACACCCAGACAGTTCTCTCAATAAACTCTTTTGCTATCTTTCTCAGATGTGGCTGCTTGCTCGAATGACCTATTTTCTCACATTCTTGGAGCCCGGATCCGGCCCTCGAGAGCGTCCCCTAAGGCACATGTGCTCTCACACGCCTCTTGGTATTTAAGCCCAGAAGCCAGTCAAGGTCATGCAAGAGCTCTGCCAACAGATGATTTTCCTTTTTCACTTTCTTTTAACCTGTTTCTAAAATTGCAGTTCTAGCTTTCTTTCTTGGTTTTGAGGGAGTTTTTGCATTCCTTTATTTTATTTTTTTAAGATTTATTTATTTATTCATAGAGAACTGGGGTATAAGCCAGAGGTGCAGGGGCGGTGAGAGGATTCACCACAGACAGAGTGGGGAGCAGAACAGGCAGATTGACGAATTACATTGCTGAGGGGAGCAGCGGGCGCGTCAAGAGAAATCTGCTGCACCAGGTGGTGACCTCCAGGGCCGGGGATCAAACTCTCATTGAAGTGGTTATGGCCAGCTTGCAGTACTGTGTCCTAACCTGTTGCACCACCAGGGAGGGCCTACACTCCTTTACTTCTAATTGAGAGGAAAAGTAGCCTGTGATAGCTGAGAATTCACCCTTGTAGCTCAGAGTTCAGTAAAGCCTCTGGGCTGCTGGCCAGGCAGGATCAGCTAGGCAGTGGTGGCCCACACAAACCATAGTGCACCTCATCAAGTGAAGATCATTCTCTGACCATCACTACACAGACCCAATATTAGAACATCATTCAAACCTCCCCCTTTTCTGTGTTTTCTTCCCCATAGAACTGGGGTACAGGCCAGAGGTGTGTGTGAGGGGGTGTGTGTGTGTGAGGACTCACCAGGGACAGAGTGGGCAGCAGAACAGGCAGATCCACTGACATACACTGCTGAAGGGCGCAGTGGGT